ACGGAAAGCCAAGTTGGCTGCTCCAGCTTGGCCAAGCAGCTTGGTGCAGCGCATTGCCATCACTGCTGGGACGCAGACCCCTCTGAGGTCTGGGCAGCTTTTTTTTTTGTGGCCAAGACCTGTGCAGGAAATAACTACTGGTCTACTTCTGCACTCTCCTCTCGTTTCCCTGGGAAGGGGAGAAGCACGCTATGTGGGTGAAATAGTGACAACCATTCCCAAAATGCGCATGGGTTCCCCTGTGCTGTTTAGTACATTTATTGCAGTTACTGCCTTGACAGAAGTGCAGCGACTTGCACCCCACAAGTTAGTAGTGAGGCACAAGGAGGTGCCCATCAGCATCTTACCTGCCACAGGCTTAGTTCCTCTGTTCCAGCCCTCCCACAGGCAGCCCCGTGGGCTTCTCCAGCATGTCAGCGAATGCCACCTCTGTCTGCAGAGACCTTCCGGTTCTGCCTTGATGTGATACTTTCATCAGAGGGTCTAGCAATGTTGCCAAGCTGTGCCGTAGGATGCGCCTGGGGGAGTTAGCCCAAAATCCCCCAGGGAGGTGCCCAGGTTTGCCAGTTGGACAGTCTTTTTAGTTTGTGTTGATTTTTGCTTTCATGATCACAAAAATAACTAAGTGGATTGCTGGATGTTCAGCTCCTCCAAGATTTTCATCATATGAAATGGAATAAAATGAAGTGGAATTCATCAGAGACTATCATAATGACCTGGAAGAATAGATATAAGAAAGTGAGCCTTGTTTAATGATTGTTTACAGTGACAGCCCAATTAACATATGAGCCCATTACTTGAAAGATGCAATGGGCCTGTGGGACAGCATTCAGTATTTCTTCCTTTCTCAGGGGAGCTGCAGGGTATCGGCTGAAATTTTGGAAGCACTCCTTCCTCAAAGATGCTTTTAAAGCTGCTATTCTGACTGCAGAAGGCATGGTTAAGCCTTACGCGTGTATTTTTTGTATGGTCTTGGGTACATTTTAATCCTGTGACCCCCCTAGGAGACCTCATTGACATTCTCACAGCTTCTTGAGCCCGAGAAAAGCTCAGTCAGCCTTTATATTGCCAAGCCTTCTTCAGTGCTACACTTAGGAACACAGAAACCAAATAGATTTATTGATATAACTATAATCAGAAGTCATAGCCAGGGTGATAAAATGGTCAAATGATCAAATTACTTAAAATTAGAAGCGTACTGAAGTGCTTCGGGGACCAGGAAGCTGCAGGCAGGCAGCCGGCCTGCCGGCCAGCCACACATCAGCCACACATGCTGCCAGCCCTCTGCGGGCGGGAGGACATGGGGGAACCCCAGGACCGGTACAGCCAACAACCGAAAGAGGAGAAGCAGCTTCAATTTTGTCACTTGTGAAAGAATAAGAAGGTGACGGGGCAGAGCCTGGACATGGCCAGGTTGCAGGTTGAGCGTGAGCGGTGAAGTGCCGACGCTGGGTGCTAGCTAGGAGCAGGACAGGATTTCTGGACATGACAAGTGTTGAGGCGCGTCTCTCTCTGGGGTAGGGGATTCCTGTGTCCACAGGATCTGAAGTCTTGAACACCATTAAGACTCTCACCTAATATACGCCCTGGGGGCCAAGCAGGGACATCACAGTTTGATTCTTCTTGTTTAATAGGTGATAGTCCCACTTCTGCGTTTTGTAATGCTTCAAGAAGCGAAGGCACCTTTACCTATAGTTATAGGTATTAATTCAATCAAATATGTTAAGTGCTATTCATTTGGTATTTATTACATTGCCAGTGGATCACGCTTAAGGATGATGTATGCTCTGTGGCCGTGTGTGCCTGGGCATGCAGGTTGGGAGTAACTGCCCCACCTTTTTCTCTGTAATTTACTTTTATGGACTTCAGGGTTATGGTTGAAGTGGCAGAGTGCTTGTTCCTCTACTCTGAAAAAATGTGTTTGAATATACTGTCATTTTCCCTGATAAGATGAGCACTATAAATTAAACAGTCAGCAACCCAAGCACATTAATCTTCCTGATGCAATCCTACCTTTAGCATTTCCTGACATATATTTGATGTTGACTTAATTGTGCAGCCTTAAAGTAGGATTTGAGTACGTAAGTGCAAAAGCAGTAAGAAACTGCAGATGCAAGCTAGAAGCTGTCCACTGAAAACTGTGCAAGGGGTGGCCGATGCACAGATCCTTGCAGTGAGGAGATTGGGGTGACAAGTTTATTGTAGTGGTTTTTTACCTCCCATCTAGTCACCCCTGAAAATCAGGCTTCACATAGGAGATCCTATAAGACTTGAGCATATAGTGTCATCTAGAGGTGGTCCCTTTCTGCTCTCCTCACGCACAAGCAATCTGACATCAGCATAAGTAGCGCGTGGTTCATGGTGCTGCTATGGTGCATCCTCAATGCAGCATGCAGCTACAGAGATCTTGCTTGGAAAGAAAGGCTGTTCTCACAGTTAAGATTTTAGAATGGAGTTGAGAAAAATCTTGGTTCTCTTCTCACTTTTACTGAAGGAGGTCAGAAAAGTAATTTTGGAACTTTGTTTTTTGGAAGGTATCAAAAGATGCAAATAAATGCCTAATGGGCTCTGAAATGGTCTTTGAAACCAGTGGGAGATAGGTCTCTGAGATTTCAGAAATCCCACACAAAGTGTTTGCATGCATCTTTAAGCATCTAAACACCTTTAAAAATATGTCTCTTAAGTGCCTAACTCTGAGCATAGGTTCCTACGTCCCCTAGGCATTTTTGAAATTGCACCCGGAGTTGCTTAGATTTCCCCTAAAGAGCATCCTTTTGTTTTAATTTTCTCATTGACTTAATTTTCTCTTGACTTGAGACATAATATATATTAACCTACGCTCATTTTTTGTAGCAAAATGTAGAGCAGTGAAGCTGTTTCTGAGCTGTTTTATTACAAAAAAGAAGCATATGGCTGATTGTGTCCCATCTGAAATGCAAATGGTGGGGCTACGTGGAAAGAATTACTATTACTTGAGCAGTAAATGTTTCCTAATGAAGTGAGTTTGTCTAAGGTGGGAAGCTGGAAACAGCTGCAGGAAGAAATGACAGTGGTTAATATTTCGGTGGAGCAGAACATTCGTATTCCTCTGATAAGGAGGTTCTTAGAAAATGGACTGTATTTTTTTCTTATATTCTGTATGTTCATCAGTGTGGGAAAATTGTTACACAGGGAGCCAGACTTTCTTCTTCCACTAGCTATGAAATCAGGTAATTTAATTTATAACCACAGCTTTTCACCTTTGGCTTCTTTTTGAGCTGAAGTTTTCTGTATTTTGTGAACATTTGGGGGAAATAGACTTATCCAATGTAAAGAAAGTCTAAAAGAAGATGAGTACTGGTTCCACTGATTTTCATCACCCTGGGCATGTTTGCAGAGGCCAGAGGGCGCGATGGAGAAATCTGACCCACGCTGTCTAATTTCCACCAAAGTTTTTCTCTTGCTTATATCCCTCTACACTTCCAGTGGTCGAAGGTGTCCAGATGCCTGCTGCGAATGGGAGGTGAACTGACTTTTAAACACTTTTTTAAATCAAGCAGCAAGGCTAGAGGCTGACATTTCCATTACTTAACTTTCCAAAGGGAGAGCTGTGGAGTCGGCGCTGTGAGGTTCAGTGCAACCAGTGGGCTGGAGATAGAACATCGGTCGCATTACTTTGCCTTAAATGTCAGAAGGAGCCGGGAAGAGTTTAGATAGCACCATGTGCAGAATTACGTGCTCAGAAGAGCTGAAGCAGCTGCCAGGTTAGACCTCTGGCTTTGTCCCCGAGCAGGATCACATCGGTGTTAATGCAAGCGTTGCTGAGGCTGAGCTGTCTGTTACGTGGCACAGTCGGGCGACAGAAGATTAGCATTTCCCTTGCTGATGCCCAAGGGTGTCTGACTTCGCTAATGATAATGAAAGAGGAGAAACCTAAAGAAAAAAGGCTGCAACCTGCTGGTGGTGGAAGTAATTAGGTTTCTCCATCTTATGAGCAATGGCGAGGCTTGCTGGGATCAGGACGTGTCCACGTTAGTGTGTCAGTTCAGATCCGGACCTGACTTGCAAAGTGAATCCCCCACTGTGCTTTGGATCACCTCTCAGGGCAGCCCAGGAGCTTATGAGCTGAGTCGTTGTGGCTCTGGAGATGCCCCTAAGCTCCCTGAGGACAGGGCTACCACTGCCTGACCCACGCTTGCCCACGCTCTGCTCTTGGCCGTGGGAGCCTTCACCTCGTGCAGAGCACGTCACTAGGTTCGGAGTGGGAGCTGACCTTCCTGCGTGACACCTGGATAAGGCTTTTTGGTTGCTGAGTTATCAAATGCTTCAGAAAGTGCTTGTGCACAAAGTTACTCCTGAAAACCGCATTCCCCTGGTTTTAATACTGAGTAGCCCCAGCCCGTCCAGGAGCTGGGGGAGATCCCACCACCCCTAGGCACAGACAGAGAGAGTATGGTCACATCACTACTGTCAGTCTCAGTCTTGGCAGGTGGTTTTATCCCCGTAGGGTGGGATGAGACTTCAGTATCGCATCTTTTATTATGATCAGAGTGCCTACAGGTGCTGTAATTATTGTCAGAATTAAATCATATATCAATATAAAACCACATTTTTACAATGTTGCATACGATGGGCAGCAGCTTAACAGAGGTGAATTTGGTGGCTTCTTTAATTCTAAGAGCGTGCAGCAGCTGGAATTATCTGCGTATCTGCTTGGGTGTTCTTTGGTTTACAAGAAATTACAAGTGGTAATGCTGTGGCATACTTTTCCACATATAACACTCTTTTTTATCTTTCCTTTTGCTTGCTTTTCTGTTTTGTGTCTCTTCCCTCTCCCCACATTTCATTTCCATCCAGAAATACAAATGACCTCTTGACAGAACTTTCCACTTTCATTCTGTTGATTTGCATTGTGCAGTCAGGAAAATACAAACACTTTCATTTCTGAGATGTATTTATGATGTCATGAAAAAAGTTTCTTGTGTTAGCCTCTTCTTTTTCCTCTTTCTTTATCTTTTCAGGTGTGTGTGCAACATTGACTGTTCTCAAACCAACTTCAATCCTCTTTGTGCTTCCGATGGGAAATCTTATGATAATGCATGTCAAATCAAAGAGGCATCATGCCAGAAACAGGAGAAAATTGAAGTCATGTCTTTGGGTCGATGTCAAGGTAACGCTCATAACAAAACTCATTTCAAAGAATGTTTTCAATTTTTGTTCGGGGAAAAAAAAAGAACCGCGGCTGGCTTCTTATTTGGCACTTCTTACATTTCCATTAGACTCTTGCAATTTATACTGTAGAGCAGACTGCGGGAGGGGGCAGAGCTCTCTGTGGTACAGATGCCAAGTGAGGCATGAGAAGCTGTGTACGTAACCCTTCCCACACCCTGTCCGCAGCGGCCGGGGACTGTCCAGCCCTGCACCGCTGTTGAAATCCAGCACCTGGATTTTGCCCAGAGCTCTGCCCTCAAGGTGGGAGTCAGAGTAGGACAGCCCTTCAGATACATTTTGCCACCCAGGATGGATCCTCTGTTGCTCCCTTAACTGGAGCAGCATGAAGCAATCTCAGGACACCAAAGGTGTGCTCCCAAGCGTGGTGCCGGGGCTTGTTTTTCATCTGACCTGCGCTGGGCCCACAAGATATCATCAAAGGTGCCTGGAAGGAAATTTTGCCAATACCAGCTCAAGACTCTCTGTGTTACTCCATGAATGCCATGCTTCTCTGTGCCCAGCTCATGGGCTACTACATCACCTGTAACCTTTGAGTTGACTTTAAAAACTCTATTTTGTTCTAAAATAAAAATGAAGAAAATTTGCCTTTAAATAGCTCCCATAAATAAAGTGTCTGCTGAGGCTCAGACTCTTAATAGCTTTTTTCCCCTTAGTTTCTGACCTATAAATCCTCAGTACATCTACTTACAAGACCGTACTATACAGGTGTATTAAACACTTTCTAGTTTTTTCCTGTCTCTTTAAAGTTAACCACCCTACATGGTAGTTCATTTCAGGGTACATATTAAAACTCCCCGATTACTTCAAATAGAGCGGAAATGACACCTGCTTCATACTGATGTGTTTATCCCAGCTGCAATCTGTTATCACATATTGTTAAAAGAAAAAAAAATTGTTTTCTTAATGGAAGATGTTTCAAGTTTCATTCCAAAAAGCCCGATCCTGCTGTTTTCACCTGGCAGGCCCAGGGGAGCAGCCAGCAGCATTGCTGTGCATGCGAGCGAAGCTACGTTTGCCTGGGCACTGGCAGCTGGGGCATAGTTTGTATCAAGCACAGGCTCCCCAAGCAATTCAACGTATTTCTTTTCACACAGATAATACTACAACAACTACAAAATCGGAAGATGGGCATTACGCAAGAACAGATTATGCAGGTACGGTTCCTGTTCTGTGAGAATGACAATTCGCACGAACTGTGTAAGTCTCTTTTCTCCTCCATTTCCTACGGTGAGGTGTCCTCATCTTCTAGTATGGTTTGGTTAGTTTACTTTAAGAAAACACTCTTTTCGTATTGCTCTTTCTTTTGCTAGAACCTACCTACCTAACAAATGGGCTGCTTCCATTTTTATCAATGCACAGATGTTGTGGCCATAAAACACCTGTTCTGACAGTAGAATAAATGTTGTAAACTATTTGTCAGGATTATCGGATGGTATTGAAAATTATTGAATCGGTGCACTAGTTTATGCATATGTTTGTCACGATACACAGGTTTAAGAAGGTGAAAATCCAGAGCATAGCACAGCTGTGATACCATGAAACATTGCTGTAACAGATAATATTACCTGTGTTTAACTGTGAAGTTAATAAGGTCTTAAAATGGTTTTTTTAAGTGATAAATGGTTTTAATTTATTTAGAAGCTACAGTAAAATGTAACGGCTGAATAGCCTTATATGACACTTGAAATTAAAAACATGTAAATACTGGTGAGGTTTGGGAGACATTTTTTACACCCTTTACCTGGGAGGATTGATTTAGAAATTGAATGTGTGTATGCGCGCATGCATGTGCCTGCAGATATTCACAGCTCGCGCTGAGAATTCAAGCCTTTGGGGAGGTATTGTGAAAATGGGTCAGGTGATGCATTCGTTGCTTAAGTTTGTGATATTTTTGTGTTTTGAAAGTAGGTATTTAGAGAGAGTAGGTGCAGATCGCTGGGTTTACCTGAGCAGCTTGCTGCATGGCTTAGGTGAAATCCAGCTGATGGTTTCACAGGTCTTAACATTTCTTACCAGGAGAGTCCTCTTGACATTAGTTAATCCGGCTTGTCATCTCTTGTCAGGGTGCTTTTGTGCACGACGTCCCTGTGTTAATAGGGTGCCCAGCCATTTGAAATGATTGTTCTGTTCCTACTTAAAAATGGTGCGTGATGATTAAAACATAGAGCTATGAATAAATGATGGCTCGGTGAGGCAGAGGAGTGCAAGGTGTCGGGGGTGGCTGCAGCACGAAGCAGTGAGGGTAGAAATTTCTGTGGAAAGTGAATGCTGGGATTAATTTCCAAAAGATCAAAGATGAGCCATGGTCCAGGTATTTCCTACTGCCAAGGAGCCCTTCCCTGGTGAAGAGAGTCATGCAAAGAGAGAAAAGTCTTCAGTCTCTTTTCCACAAAACCTTGATTACTCTCAGCTTTTTTCTGGGAGGCAGTGGTCAGGTTTTTTTAAAGGCTGGAAGGGCTGACGTTATATCCTGTGATGGGCAGGAGACACGGCCAAGTAGGCCAAAATCATTTGTTTTAAGTTAGAAATGAAGGTAAATAATACTGTTGTGTTAAATCCTTTACTTTCATTGCTGGAGAACTGAGGAGAGCACTGGCATCCTCAAGTCAAGATGAAGGCCTGCAGACCCTTTGTAAATGTTGTGCAACCTGTCCTACTCTGCTACTTTCTGCTGGTGTAGCTTTAGGATGGCAATCACCAACATCACCTAGCGAGGAGACAGCACATTTAAGCATGAAGCAACTGAGTTGTAACAAAAAGGGAGGAAAGGCAGCTTGAGGATTAGGAAGGAGGAGGAGATCACAGCGATGCCAAGAGAAAGCCAAGTCATGGGTCATAGAGGAAGAGGAGCACAGAAGGCGCCTTCAGCTCAAGTGGGCAGGAGGAAGAGAACAGCTCTTGCTTAAGAGAGAGTTGATATTTCAGCCCACACTTGAAAGGAGAGGTGGTGGGTAGAAGAACATTGATTGCAGCAAAGCGTTGTCAGGGGTTGGGAAACAAGCAGGGAACACAGGAGGAAACTGGGTTACTGGGCAGGGAGGAGAGCGAAGCTACGGCATGGAGAAGCAGGTCTGGAGATGGTCTCTGAGAGCCAAGAGGTCACAAAGAGATGGTCCAGCGAGAGGTGATGGGGGCCTGTGGTGGGGAGACAGGGCACCTCCCTCCCCTAGAGCTCCAGGAGGGCTGGAGACATCCTGAATCAGCAGTGAGGTCCAGTAGGTACCTGTTTGGCACAGGAAAGCACCATCATTGCACCTTAGCAAGCAGCGTCTCGAGGCTCCTGGTATGGCTCAGGCCCGTGGTATGTCTTGAGGGCAGTGACTCTGTCCCCTGGGGTGCGTCTCATCAGATACCATCCATTGATTTAACCTGAACCACAGTCGCTTGCACCAGCTGATGATACATCTTCTTTTTGTGTACCTAACTATTATTCCTGCTTAAACTTTTCATTTTTACATGTGGTGACATTATGTAGGGTGAAAGTTGCAAGTTCATGCAGGGCAATCCGCGTGCCTCCAGTGTTCCCAGATGTCTGTGCCATAACCCTGCTGGGACACCCTAGGGGAAAGGCACCGCTGTACCAAAAAGCTGTAACAAGCCCAGCCTTTCAGAAGTAGTTGGTGAAAAGGAAGACAGCAGTATAAAACTGAGGCTCAGTGAACATTCAGGCTTCAACATTTGCCAGGCAGGAAGCTCTGTACCATCCTCATGTTCTTTTAAGTGCAGAAATGTTTGATTCTGGCTATTATAGGAATGTGGTATGTACTACTTTTTTCCCAGCTTCATCTCCTCGGAAGGGAAATGCTGCCCTGACCATGGGGAGCTTTGTGTGAAAAAGCAGCAGTTCCTCAGCTGTCATGCCTCTGAAGCAATTTCCCCAAGCTCGTGCCCTTCCACAGAATACGTTTGTTCTCTACCATTTAATAGCACTAAAACTCGCCGAGACCGTGAGCACTACACACTTTTAAAAACATTGACTCGTATGGACTGATTTTCCCAGGGGAGAAAATAGCAGTGGGCATAATTGATGTTGTCAATTATGCTAATGCAGCAGTGCCAAATGCTCTTTGCAGAGATTGTGGTAGCTGAGTGGTGTGGGTTTTTCCGTAAACACCCCCGCACGCTCAATGTGGGGTCCCAGGAAGGCAGCAGCTTTGCAAACAACCACAAGTCCCAACACCCAGCTGGTTTTTTTCATATTGAACTATTCAAACCGTCTGTTCAATCAGTCTCTTTGCTCCCTCCTGTTCTTTCAAGCCCGTTGATACTTGCAAATAACACACAAATCTTGCAGTTTGCAAAACCGAGAGTACTCTTTCCTTTGGAGCATCAATCTTTACATTGTTTGCATCGCCGTGGCTTTTTAAGGGCTCTTACTTTACACAGGCAAGATTTACTCTAGTATTGGAGATGCCTAATGCCAGAGACACCTGAAAAGCAGCGTCCCCCTTTTTGGCAAAGCAAACATGGGGCGAGTGAGCCGTAGGTGACCCTTCTCTGACGGTGTCCACCTCTCCAGGTCCACCAGTCCCCTCTTGCCATGGCTGCGTGTGCAATACGTGTCAGCACAGTGTCTGTACGCATGTGTGTTTGTGTGTCTCTGTGCAATTCTGGCTTCTCTTGTTTTTCTGAAACCCCAGAGTTATTTATCAGACTTGGGGAGATTTTCACTCTTTTCAACAAATGACAGATTGTTGACATTGATCAAGTTTGTGAAATAAGATTTGAGTTTAGTTAGTAAATGAATGGGTGGGGTTTTTCTCTCAAATCCAATAGAAATACGCTTTCTCTTGCAATTTCCATGAAAGAGCATTTTTAAACATTTTAAGTGTAATATATGCCTTGGACTGTAGTGTCTGAGCTGAAAGTCCTGTGATTGATGTTTTCTTGAATTTCCCCATTATATGCATAAAGAAGTTGGCTGTTTTGGTGGCATTTTTGTATTCAGAGTCTAGGCAATCAAGGAGTTTTCATCTTGTTTATTCATTTGCCTATTTATTTTTATTCTTCAATATTTATATTCCCTTCTTAAGATCCGGATATTGGCAATTATCCCCCTAACTGATTTTATCCTTTTTCATTATCAAATTACAGGGATTTTTTTCAAGCCATTCTGAGCACTATAAAGAGTAAGTCAGTATGGATGAGCCATATTTCAATGTTATATATTCATGAAAATTGTCAGCGAAGACACTGATAAATCTGATAGACCTATTCAATAATATCATCTTCCAGGCCAGACAAACCTCCCTATATGAACATTGATTAGATCAAGTCTCAGCAGCCGAACGTCAGCAGCGCAGTGAAGCTGATGGGAAAGGGAAGAAGGCATTTTAAGCCCCAATCGTCCCCTTTGGTGAAAAATGTGCATCCGCAAACGGTCAGTTTGAGCTGTATTTTTGGGTTCCTCGACGGCGGTAAATTCCGCCATGGCGGCAGCCTCAGATGGTGCCTTCTGCCGTCTTGGCTAGTCCAGGGACTGTCTTGCAGGCAGTGCCGTGGCCCCTCTCGCTGATGCTGTTGCTGTGCCTGGGAAACGCTAACGAGCACAAAATGCTGCGCGTCTGCTCATGGCTGCTCTGTTCCCTGCTCTCCCCCTTGGTTTTCCATGGGATTTCAAATCTACGTGACAGTCTTGGATCATTTTCAGACCGCTTTCTGGCACTGAGGCCTCCCTGGCACTACCGGAGGTGCTCAGGCGAGTAATCCGGCAGATGGCTGTGTTGCCCAAGCAAACGGAATGCGCCACCAAAAAGGGCAGAATCCATCTGTGTCAACACGTCGTCTTCCCTTGGCGGGGCCAGGGCTGTGTGATTAAGGCCACGGGAGCCACCGCAGATTCCCCATGCTGAGGATAAAGAAGAGTCTTGGACTCTTCATAGAGTCTCTTCAGAAGTCCAAGAGTCGTGGACTGCAAAATAAATACAACTCAATATTTATGTTTGAGAAAAGAAAACTATCCTAAAACTTTACCAAAACCCACCACTCTGCATCGTTAACTTCTAATCCCTTTGAGCGGGAGAAGAAGCCATGCCTGTAAAAGAAAATGCGGAGAACTGGCCACGGTGCACTGACCTAGCACATGTGAGAAGCGCTGGGGTGTGATGCATCCCTTTCTTCACAGGCTCGATACAGAGCCCACCGAATTCAGTCA